CAACGTTTATCTGAGATAAAGTGTCACAGGATGAACGCGATGGAGCAAACTGGGGATAGTTGGATTTCTTACACACCGAGCCATCTGGTGGGCTTTATATCGCGGTTTTAACTCATTGTAAGGTAAGATGCCATAAAAGGGGTATCTGGCACCCATTCGCCAATGACACGAATAGTAGCTCCTGCTTGGTGAGCTTTCACACCAGTCGGGTCACTATCTCATTGAGTTGGAAAAAGATTGACGTTTGAAAAAGCAAGTACAAAGTGGCACCAGTCCCTGAAGCTGCAAGAAATAGATACATAAAACGGAGGTTTAACGTCATTGTTTCAACTAATATAGGTTTGTTCGTTGGCCCGCTCTTACCACGAGGAGGGCTCTGCAGAGTTGCCAACAATTTGCTAACTGGTGATGATAACTGGAGCTCAAGTGGGCGCCGACGGCCGAGATCATTTTGTACCATTCTCGGCTGTTTGACGGTGTGGTTTGGCGGACGACCTCTATTTTTTCAAGCACAAAATAGAGTTAGCTAGCAGATGAGGTTTTATACAGTTATGACTATTTAGTGTACCAACCGGTTTAACATAAGCTCACTTTTGTGGCCTTAGGTTTCTGAACGAAGTCTTGCTGCTGGACTAGGTTCAGTATTACATGTCGCGAAAAATTTCAAAGTGCAAGAAGGCACGGCTGGTGGCCCCCACCACCAGCTGACGAAAGCTGCACGCGAGCAGATAGGAAGAGTCAATGAAGACATTTCTTCAACTAGCACTGGAACCCCAAGCTCTCCAGGTCATCAGGGCGGTGTAGCGCAGTGTGAGTGTGAACTCTTTATCCGCTCCATTTGTTTCATCCCTTGTGGGTTGTGACAATAGCTTTATATTGAACATTACCACCATAAAGATTGGACATTGGGAGCGCCTCGATTGCACCGTTTTCATCCAGTTGGTTGTTGTCTCAAATGATGTATGTGACGCCCCTTCCAGACATCAGGCTGCATAACGGTAGTTGCAATGATCAGATAAGTCACTGGCCTCAACGGCGTTTGACCAGATTAACGTCGGCAGACATTACTGATTGAACTATCTACCACAAGTTATATATTGCTGTCTGTTGATCGCCTGTCTTTTTCGACTTTTCGGGCTAATCACGATCCCCCCCCCCCCCTGACATTCCAGTTTCGTCCGAGCGGCGAGAAGCCGTCAACTTTCTAATGTAAGCTAGCGTGGACAAGAGAAGTGTTTTACAGCCAAACTCTATGTAAAAGGCCAGGCGAACACACTAGCACATTCAGAGTGTTTCCAGCGACACAGAATTGTGCGCCGCAACGGGAAGAAAGGCAGAAAGACCGTTGCTGCCTTGGATGTCACATGGCACCAACGCTACGGCGGCGTGAAAACGCTTGTGTTTGCGGGTTGGTTTAAACATGAATATGTCCATAAGCCGGTATTCAACCTAGCATATTCATTTGAACATTGCCAGCTGGGAAATAACGTCGGTTTGCAACAGAGCCACAAAATTATTGCTGAAATGCGCTTCCAGTCTGCCACCGACAAACAGATGGGGTTACCCATTCCCCATTGATTTATCCCGAAGACCTCTGGCCGGAAGTGCTTATAAACAGTCTGCTCAAAAGAGAACAACATGCAACAACAACAACATTGGATGAAAATGAGATACGGCGGGCTAGACGGGCTCGCAGCACCCTGAAACGCGCATTGAGAAGTTGGAATGCACATCCTGTAGCCTTAAGAGGAGCATTGTTAGGGTGGATGCGGGGTTGGCCTGCCCTTATGGGGGAAGTGTGTGGTGAACCCCCGGGGGTGTAAATACAGCGCGTGGCTATTTCAGTTCAAGGTAGCACAATTTTCCTGTAAAATGGGCCGATTTCTAGCAAGTTTTGCAATTTCTACCAGTCAGAGTGTTGAGGCCCATATGTCAGCTCCGAAATAGTCTAATAGGGATATTTTAGGGCGGTGGCGCTATTATTCTCTGCGCACCATTTTATCTAACCCATCCAACATTATATATTTGCCAGTTAATCACCACCTAAGAAGAACACCACACAGCAACAGCGAAATTTTTGGCACCCGCCCGCCCCACGATATCTGGTTTTCGTAGTCTGCTCCACATAGACATTGCAGGGCGAAAATATGTGCGCAATCATTGCCCATTAGTTAATGCAATGTAAGCTTTACATAGGATATTTTCCATTTACATATTAATGTTCCTCGTACAAAACCGCATTACATCTAGATGTTCACGCGCGTTAGCCTCGACGAATATGGCATGGGTGCTTGTGGTGTGACTGCGCGGGATGTGCGCCCTCGCCCTCGCTCTCTTCCGAGCTCTGTATCTGACTGGGTGCCTGGGGGCGTCACGTGACCGCAGGTCTCCCAACTCGCCGGGAGCCAAGGGTCGGCCGCTGAGGCGGCGGCAGGGACCCGACGCTCGCAGGCGCCAGACGGTTTTTTGGACGAGTTAGGGCGGATACGCGCTACGTTCTCTTACAAGCTATTTCGGCCATCATGCCCGAAACCGCCGCGGCCAGTGGCGACGCTGTGACAACGGCTGCTGCGAGTGTCCCAGCGCCAGTGATGTCGACTACTACGGTCGGAGCGGACAGAGGGGCCGCGGTGACTGGTGGAGGCCCATCCGACGAGCGACTCGTCACCGAGTACGTTGGCACGGCCGACGTCGTAGAGTAGTTCACGAGGGCGGCCGTACTCCGCCGTCATCGTCAGGAGCGGATTTGTCCAGCATTCTGCCAGCGCGCCTCACGGGAGGTGCGTTTGCCGTCTGGCTGCAGATACCGGAGGAGGCGCGCACATCGAGTGAAGCCGTGTGTGACAAAGCAGACAAACAGAATTTTCTTTAAACAGAGCGACGCGTTAAGACGCGCTCACTTTCTGAGATATCAGGAGTCAAATTGACAAAGGCGAGCGAAAGTTATCCCACCGGCCACCTGGGCGTGTGCTAAATGCTGCCGTATATTCGCCACGAGTGTAAATAGGAGGTAGTTTGGAATGATGATGCGTTTGGAGCAGGCAACCACCAAGGGCCAGTGTGCGTTAAAACCCTTGATTGGGTGAAAAGTGTGAGTATGAAATGCAAGATAAGGCGTAAAGAAAGCTGGCATTTAAGGAATGAATGCGTGCTGCCACCTTTGCAGTGCCATGCTCAATGCTGTGGTAAAATAAGAAAGGCAAAAGACCTTTTCTGCTCTCAAAAAGTTAAAGCGCTGCTACTGTTGCTGCTATAAAGCAGACAAACAGAATTGTCTTTAAACAGAGCGACGCGTTAAGACGCGCTCATTTTCTGAGATATCAGGAGTCAAATTGACAAAGGCGAGCGAAAGTTATCCCACCGGCCACCTGGGCGTGTGTTAAATGCTGCTGTATATTCGCCACGACGCGCCGCCCAACGGACAACATTCAGTAATGCGCTTCCACGAAGTCGTACGGTTTGAAGGGATGTTGCCAGCCGTCCTGCTTCACGTAACCCCATAGCGAATGCGTCGCACGCGCGCGGTCTCACTCCCTGCCCGCAATCGCATTTTAATACGGATCCGTGATTAAACGTACAACGGGCGAGCGCCCTCATTCAGTAGCGCGCCGTTCGAGATTTATGTCCATTTTATAGCCGCCGGCCGCTCTTGCTTGTTTGCGTGCTGTTCGACAGCCCTGCGCTGGGACAACTGCTCCGGTCTCGTGTCCCCACGTCGTCCAAATGTTCTTCACACGTGTACACATCCGTCTCGCTATGTCATCGATATGTAATGTCGCAAACGTTGCGTAAGACATAGCCAATCCAGCTGTTGCACTGGACAGCGCGACGTGCCAGCAGCACACAGAGACGGACAGGTGCACCAGAACATCAGAATGATCATGTCTCAGCCGAAGATAGCGACGATCCGAGTGCTGAGATGAGAAGCGAACGAGTGACGAATGAGCCAGGCTACGGACCCAAGAGGCGCTGCATTATATGACAACTGCACGTCATGCGGATAAGGAATCAAATCGTTCCACCCAAACACGGCTGGAATGAAGTGTTTAACTAGTGATGGAGATAAAATTGTTGACATCGGCACCGCATATACACAACTCACAAATTTCGGACAAACAGTAGAGGCCACCACTTTCTTTTTACTTAATGGCAAGCACCACAAATATGTATCACAAATCCTTGTCAATGCTCTGCACCATAAACATCCCAATATCGAGCAGATTGTACTCGCCGACGTTATTGTCACAGCATGAATGGCACAGACGGGCTCCAGTAAAATACATTCTCTGCAGCTGAATATCTCCGCGCGACAGCCTATCGTTTCCAACAGGCACAACCTTCGCTTCGCTTCGCTTCGCACAACCGCCGCGTGACCCACCTATCACAAAAACCGGCCGTCCAGTCTCCAGGTACGATTGCACATTGAGTTAAGCTAGACATTATGAGCCGCGGGGACAAGGTGACTCAACGATCTCCACGCCGCGTCTGCGGCGCTCCTCTTCTGCCTCCACCGGAAACGCCTCTAGCAGTCCCGCTAGTATCCTCTACAATATGGCAAGCCAACAGGCTTCATTGTCACGGCCCATCCTAATCTAGATGCCGTTCAATACGAATTACAGGGAGTGCTGTAACGCATACACGGTCATACATACCTTAAATGAATTTGACGAGCTGCATTACAAAATACATCTAGTATCCAATGAAGCACGAAACATCACATATGCAGCCCATTCCAGGCGCAATAAACAAAGTAATGTGATCCGTTGTCATAACCTAACGGTTTGTGAGCTGCCGAGGGCGTCTCGCCCCCTGACATGGCGCCTTAGGGCCCAACAGCAGCCATACGAACCACCAATACCGACGACGCCCCCTCCCGTGCGCACCATCCCGCTCGCAGGCCCACGGTCCGTTCGGCGAGGGAGACCTCTCTCCGTGCGCGGCGGGATGCCGACGGCGGCGCCCGGTAGGCCGCCGGAGCGCCGGCTCGCCGCCGTCCCCCGGCCGCCCGGTCCGCGCCTAGCACGGCAGCACGCGGCTGAGCAGCGGCAGCTTGCCCGTGCGCCGGTACACGGCGACGTCGTACGCGGACCGGGCCGCCATCACCAGCAGCACGGCCGCCAGCACTAGCACGGCAGCACGCGGCTGAGCAGCGGCAGCTTGCCCGTGCGCCGGTATACGGCGACGTCGTACGCGAACCGGGCCGCCATCACCAGCAGCACGGCCGCCAGCAGGCCGTTGGTGACGTCCCACCAGTTGATCTGCAGGCCGCCGCACAGCTCGCGCCACGAGAGCGAGAGCAGCGGCGGCGATGGGGGCGGCCCAGACGCCAGCGGGCCCGAGCCGCAGCGGATCTTCAAGCGGTTCCTCAACAGCTTGTTCCGCGACACCAGCCACGACTTGAAGGTGAAGGTGAAAGGACTGGTGCAGTCGCACAACCACGGGTTGCCTTCGAGGTAGAGAGAGTCGACGTTGGAGGACTCCTTCCTCAGGGCGTATTCGAAGGCGTGGATCGGCAGCTGCGGGGACGGCGGCGTGGTCAGATGGAGTTTAAACAGCGGTGGCGACAAGCACGTAAAAAAACAGCGATATTCCTCTCACACACCAGATCGAATAACAGCTTCGAAATATCGCAGCCCTAGACTTCTGAAAAGGTTTTTCACAATGATGTCTCAGTAGCAGCAAGTTACCAGAGAAGGGATCACTTCCTTCGTCCCCGGATCTATCCGGAAACTAAATCCACTGTCCACAAAAGTCCCATCCATCGCTTCCGGATCTACCCGGTAACTAAATCCATTGTTCACAATAGTCCCAGCGCAAGAGTATGCAGGTCCACATCCACCAGCGCTGTCCGTGTACGTAAACTCTTCGTTTTACGGCACTAGAACTCACGCAAACGCCATCCAATGTCGAACCCCGCAAAACGAACCTTCCTTGCGCGCCAAACACTACTGCCTACCTTGGCCAAAGCTTGGCGTCCGCTTGGAAAACGAGTATTGTGTCCCACGCCCACGATCGCCACCGTCAGGCAGGGTACAGACACCTCAGCGACGGTAACAGCCCGGCCATCCGACACGTGTCCTCACTGACTGTCTACCGGGGCCGTCTGTCCCATCACTGGTGACAAAGTCACTCAGCGGCCACCCAACACGTGAGGGCAGACCGCCCGGCGCGGCGGCCTCGGCCGCCACCCGCTCCAGGGCACGCACCGTCTGCAGCCGGTTGCGGGTGAGACTGAGGATGGCGTAGCGGTCGATGAGGTCGGAGCCCTCCAGCTGGTTGACGTCCTCGGCCTCCAGTAGATTACCGTCCAGGTACACGGTGGTCAGCTTGCTGTAGCTGGAGTGGTTGCCGATCACGGGGCCGAGGTCGGTCAGGCTGACGACGCGCGGGGACGGCGCGTCAGCCGCCGTAACAACGGCACGGCGCTGCCGTCACGGCTGTGACGACCGTGACGGCGCGCGACGGGCGACGACCGCGCCAGCGACGCCGGAGCGGCGGCCACGGCACCGCGGTGGCCGTGCTAAGGCGACACCGCGGCGGGGAAAACGCGGTGGTGGTGGCGGAGCCGCGGTCGCAATGGCACGGCGGTGGCATGGCAGACGCGACGGCAGACAACATGGAAGTGACGGTAGAAGAGCGGTATCGGGGTGACAGCGGCGACGACACGGCGGTGACGACAGTACACCAGTGACAGCATGTCGATGACGTCATCGGCGTATGACGCAGTGCCAGGCAGCGGTGGTAGCACGGGTGGTGACAGCCTGGCGGCGACGACGACAAGCAGAATAGGCATTTGTGGACCGTATCAAAGGATGGCTTAAAGAACGTGTTCAGATATGGCACCACAAATACACAATTTTTGCATGACATCGACGCCCAATTACCGATGCATTGAATCAGATGCTTTGTGTTCAGTCCATGACCTTATGCTTCACTTCAAGCGGGCAACGGCCTAGATGATGGGATCTCTATTTTTGCATGAGTTTCCAGCCTCTGGAGCGATATGCCGGTGCATTAATGCTAGCGACATCAACTGCCGCAATGCTCTCTCGGAATGTCCTCACACCATCCACTTATGCGTTGATTTAATCTTAATATCGGTGCAGCTGCACACATTTCGCATTGAATCATCCATAGGTTCACGCTACCCTTCAATATATTTGGGTTTCGAAGCGACAAAGCTTCAGAGACCCCAATTAAAAGCCCTCACAAGTCAGAGCTCCCACCCGCCCGTTATCTCTAATGGACAGAGGTGAGGCTTCCACCCGCCCGCTATCTCTAATGGACAGAGGTGAGGCTTCCACCCGCCCGTTATCTCTAATGGACAGAGGTGAGGCTTCCACCCGCCCGCTATCTCTAATGGACAGAGGTGAGGCTTCCACCCGCCCGTTGTCTCTAATGGACAGAGGCGAGGCTCCCACCCGTCCGTTGTCTCTAATGGACAAAGGCGGGGCTTCCACCCGCCAGTTGTCTCTAATGGACAGAGGTGAGGCTTCCACCCGCCCGTTGTCTCTAATGGACAGAGGTAAGGCTTCCACCGGCCCGATGTTTCTAATGGACAGAGGTGAGGCTTCCACCCGCCCGTTATCTCTAATGGATAGAGGTGAGGCTTCCACCGGCCCGATGTTTCTAATGGACAGAGGTGAGGCTCCCACCCGCCCGTTGTCTCTAATGGACAGATGTGAGGCTTCCACACGCCCGCTATCTCTAATGGACAGAGGTGAGGCTTCCACCCGCCCGTTGTCTCTAATGGCCAGAGGTGAGGCTTCCATCCGCCCGTTGTCTCTAATGGACAGATGTGAGGCTTCCACCCGCCCGCTATCTCTAATGGACAGAGGTGAGGCTTCCACCCGCCCGGTGTCTCTAATGGACAGAGGTGAGGCTCCCACCCGCCCGTTGTCTCTAATGGACAGATGTGAGGCTTCCTCCCGCCCGTTATCTCTAATGGATAGAGGTGAGGCTTCCACACGCCCGATGTCTCTAATGGACAGATGTGAGGCTTCCACCCGCCCGTTATCTCTAATGGATAGAGGTGAGGCTTCCACCCGCCCGTTGTCTGTAATGGACAGAGGTGAGGCTTCCACCCGCCCGATGTCTCTAATGGACAGAGGTGAGGCTTCCACCCGCCCGTTGTCTCTGATGGACAAGGTGAGGCTTCCACCCGCCCCTTGTCTCTAAGGGACAGAGGTGAGGCTTCCACCCGCCCGTTGTCCCTAATGGACAGAGGTGAGGCTTCCACACGCCCGATGTCTCTAATGGACAGAGGTGAGGCTCCCACCCGTCGGTTGTCTCTAATGGACAGAGGTGAGGCTTCCACCCGCCCGTTGTCTCTAATGGACAGATGTGAGGCTTCCACCCGCCCGCTATCTCTAATGGACAGAGGTGAGGCTTCCACCCGCCCGGTGTCTCTAATGGACAGAGGTAAGGCTTCCACCGGCCCGATGTTTCTAATGGACAGAGGTGAGGCTTCCACCCGCCCGTTGTCTCTGATGGACAAGGTGAGGCTTCCACCCGCCCGTTGTCTCTAAGGGACAGAGGTGAGGCTTCCACCCGCCCGTTGTCTCTAATGGACACTAAGCTGATGCCGGAGACGCCGCTGGCCCACGCCCATTATTTTGTATCGCTACATGCAGCTGCAATGCCCAAAGCGTTTCCATCTGTGGTAAAAATCGGGCCAAAGAGCCGCAAACGCAATCGAACCGGATCTCTCGCTTCTCCGATCCTTCTCTCACTTCGAAGCCCGACCTCATCACCTAGCCAGCTATCCCCGCCCGGCGCCCACCTGTTGTTCTTGATAGAGAGCAAAGTGGAGCCTTCAGGCAGCTGGGGCGGGAAGCTGTGCAGGCCGCGACTGTCGCAGTGCACCTCCAAGATGACTGGCGAGACGGTGCCCGAGTCCGGCGCGTACTGGACCTGGACCAGGTCGCAGGAGCAGCCGAACGGCGGCGCCGACGGGCACTGCCGCTGCACCGTCTGCCGGGCCGGGTCAGCCGTCAGGGCAGCTAGGGTCAGGTCAGCCGCCGGGGCAGGTCAGCTGGTTGGTGCAGTCAGCCATCGGGTCAGATCGACCCCCCAGGTCAGGACTGATCAGATCGGCTGCCAGAATGGCTCGGTTAGACCATGATGGTTCAGACGCAACCCACCTAGTTTCCAGGTCCGACCAGGTAAGGCAACGTTAACAACTGCGGGTCAGATCACGTTAAGGAAGATCAGGCCATGTTAGTCCAGATACGCAATATTAGTCGAGATCCTGCTGGGCTGGACCGGGTCAGATCAGACCACATCAGACTGCCGCCATATAGTCAAGACTACCAGCTGTTCATGCTGTGAGAGCCAGCAGCCAATCACGCTTACCAGCGCCGTCCGTCCCGGTTCACACCCACTCAACGCGGCGACGAACCCGGCGCCGTATAGCACAGCCGGATCCGCCTTCCACTCAGACCTGGCAGATCTTGGCGCCTGCCCTCCCCCCCATACTCACCAATGCCAGCCGGAGAACGGCCAGCACCGGCAGGCCGTGTATGGTGGCGTACTGCACGCGCGTCACAGCGCAACGCGTGGCATTGGCGCGCGCCAGCTGCCGGCCCGCGTCCAGCTGCCAGCTGTACAGCCATATCAGCCGCTCGTCGGAGCAGTTCAGGCGGCTGTCTGCGGCAGCACGGACCGGCGACGGCGGCCGCGGTCACCAGCGGCCACGGGAGTCGCAAGGTGTGGCGCGAAGCGGCGAGCGGCGCCGAGTGGCCACGATCGGCCACGCACGTGCGTCGGCGCGTGGTGACGTCATGCGCGTTCACGAACCGTCGCGTCGCGAGCAGTCACGGCACATCAACGGTCTCGAAACGCCACGGCTGGTGACGTGGCGAGCAGTCATGAGTGTTCAAGGTGTCAGCGTCACGATCCGTAGCAGATTATCACGGCAAAGCCGAGAGCTACCAGCGGCGGCGTCGCTAGCAGCCATAAGCCGTGACAAAACGCCACAAAACGCCACGCACCGCCACGGAACGCCACGGCAGTCTGGCCATCAGCAGCCGTGGCGCGTCACGATCGTTTATCCCACGTCAGGAGTGGTTACAACAAGCGTGGAACAGCACGGATAGTCATAAGCGAACACTAGGGCGCAGGGCGGGCTCGCAGGGCTGTGTGTTGACTGTAAGCAGAACCGGTTCGTGAGCGGAGCAAAGCCGGTTCTTGGAACCTAGGAATCAGGAAATATCTGACCACTGACGTTCGCTCCTAACTCAACCGTTGTATTGCTAACTGCTCTGAAGATATCTTGATCGGTAAATGATTTCAAGTACGCTTATCGATGCACAAAATGTGTCGCCCTTGACGATGAATCAATTACATAACATCGCAACGCGTATCGAAGCCTGGGGCCGACCAGCCACGTGACAGGTCAAGTGCGCAGCTGGTAGGCGACCCCATCTATCACGTGACACTTACAGGACAGGTCGAGCGAGACGAGCACCTCCTCCAGCGGCCGGTAGCCGACCACCGTCTGCAGCGGGTTGTTCGACAGGTTGAGCGTGCGCAGTGAGGGCAAGCCATCCAGCCACTCCAGCCTGCCGAGCAGAGGCCCGAGCGGCGCGGCCGTCAGCCGGTGCCCAGCTCCGCAACACGACCAGCAGGCCGAGCGGCGTCTTCACCGTGCGCCACACGGCCGATCGGCTGAACAGCAGCGCTGCACGCGAGTGTCCACGTGATGCGTCCATGCTGCTGCTGATCGGCTGAACAGCAGCGTTGCACGCGAGTGTCCACGTGATGCGTCCATACTGCTGCTGATCAGATAAACAGCAGCGTTGCACGCGAGAGCCCACGTGATGCGTCCATGATGCTGCTGATCGGCTGAACAGCAGCGTTGCGCGCGAGTGCCCACGTGACGCGTCCATGCTGCTGTTTTAACGGCAAGACAGCCATGTGCTGAGTGTTCTGTTTCTCATGTGAAAGGAGTACAAGACAGAGATTTCAGAAAGTCTTGCGCGGCCTGCGCGTGGCTTCGATGCCCGGAGTTTTTCGCGAAGAAAACACGGCGGTGCGCTCGGTTACGCTTATAGGTATCAGAAGTACACACACAACGAGCTAATGAAGCCATGGATGGCTCCATCAAGTAGGGTGGAATGGCAGGATCAGCTTGTCGTTTCGTTTCATTAATGCCGCCATGTTGTTTCCAGTTTTGATTTGAAATAGATGTGTCCAAGCACAAATGATGCTTAAAACAGCGTCACACATTTGCATGGGGTTCTGGACTGAAATGCATATTTGCATGGGACTTTGAACTGAAATAGACACTTTGAATATCAACCGGTGCAGTTCACAGCCCTGCCTTCCTTAAGATATAGAACCCTGCAGTTTCTTAGCTACACGCCCGCTAAAATGTACGGACTTGTGTGAATACTATTTCAAGGCCACTCAGGCATGCAAGGCGCCATGACAAGGTCACTCAAGGTCTGCCACCCCATAGGCCAGGCGGCGTTTAAGGCCCAAAGTAATCACCGTTAAGTCGTTCAGATCTAGGGTCCGTGAGCATGATTTCCAAATATTACGGACGCCAACTGGCCCTGCACTAATATTGAGCAGTACAGGCAAATTTCGGTCACAATTGGTTGTTTGGATTAGAGCCCCTCCGACAAGAAAGGATCCCGTCAGGGCTATGGAACGAAGGAAAATGAATGACGATGGGGCAGGACATGCGCCTGTGGGCCAACCGCCGGCCGCGGGCAGGGACTCCTCGAGATGTTCGCTGGTCGCACGGTCGAGGTTCCCCTTCCCAGGGGGCCTTCCGACCCACTCATGGCTGACGCATACAGTCTGTCGCGGATTACCGGAGCGGTGGGAGGATTTAGCACCAAGCAAAAGGAGGCTAAGAGGGTCGGATGATCGCTAACAAATCGCGTCTTTTGTTATTCAATATTAGAAGTCGGGCGTGACTGCCAGTTATTACGTAAATAGGACTCGTAATAAAACAATCTTAAAAAGCACCATAACCGAGTATGTGAACACAAGCGGGCTTGTTAGCTTACGGATAAATATGCAAGAACACCACGAGTAAGGGCCCAAACACGAGCACATACCGAGGTGTGGCTCAGGGAAGGTTTCGGTGCAGTGCTGCCATCTCGCGACCAGTTTGAAGTTCTACAAGTGAGTGCAAGGCTGGCAATTTCGCACGGCTAATTTGGCCGCACCTAAACGCTCCATGACGCAGTAAGGCAATGACGTATTGAGGAGCATTTTTACTAAACAGAGAAATCTTGTTGTCTAGTGCAGTCTTTTCCACTTGAATGCCTCACATTTGAAGATACAGAAAGAAGCATCAGATATGATGAAATAAGCTCACTTACATTTATAACTATTGGCATACTTTAAGGGGAAAAGATTGCCCCAGACGCCATTTCTCTTGTCACCATTTTGTTATTTCGCTCACCATTTCTCTGTCTAGTAAATATGCTCCGCAGTTCACCATGGTTTGATTACGTCACTCCTCCTTGCATAACACTGAGAGCCAACTGACGGCCGTTATATCTTGAAATCGTGCTCATGAACGACAGACGTGAACGACTCGATTATACTTTTAATTATATACACGACTCAATTGCATTTTTTTATTTGATCGCAGCATGATTGGTGTAATAGGATTTGAATGACGTTATTATGACATCACCACGGATGACTGGGTGGACTTGAAATAGCCTCCGCGAAAAGTCTGCACATCTTCGTGGGGATATATAGCTCAGAAACTAGAGGGGTTTAGGTCTTTGGAAAACAACTCCTTTAAGGCATACCAATAAATACAAGTGGGCTTATTCCATCACGTCTGATGCTTGCTTCAATATCTTCAAACGTGTAACATCCCTTAAAAATTTGAGGATATTCTCGAGCGTAGAAAAATCCTAAAAAAAAGTGAAGCGGGGAGGCAAACCATAGGTCAACTTCCGTGACAAATTAGGGAGGGGGCTTTCTATGGAAAACAGTGGCAGGAAAGGACAGATCGGACAGCTCCGTTGCATCTCTAGACAACTTAAGCATCACAATTTACGTTGCATGGCTTTGCATCGGAAGAAACCAAACACGAATCGTAGTTGTACCCCATGCCATACGAGAATCTCACGGGACTGCCGCCGTCCCGGTTTTCATGCCAGTCAGAGTACCCAAAAGTCACTAACAAAAACGAAGCCGAACTTATGCACTAGCCTAAGTGAAGTATCCCGAATCGACAGCAGCGCACAAATCACCGTAGAACACAGCATAGCCGCGGCCGCCATCGCGTCCCGAGATTTCGACGGCTTCCGCGCCGCCCAGTACTGGAAGCGGTCGCGAGTAACGTCTCGGCCCAGCCGCACGCAGACCCACCTGAACTCCTGCAGGCGGTTTCCGGTCAGCTCGATGTGGCCCAGGTGGCGCTGCCGCCAGCGGCCGACCAGCGTCTCCACGCTGCAGTTCAGCACCCGCAGCCGGCGCAGCGCCGGCAGAGGCCGCAGCAGCGCCGCGTCCAGCAGCGGCAGCTGGCAGTCGCGCAGCTCCAGCTCGCGCGCGGCCGGCGCGGCGGGCAGCTCCAGCACCGACAGGCCGCTGCACCTGACCCCGGTTGGCAGGCAGGCGCAGTGGCTGGTGTTGACACACACGGCGTCGGCACCGGCCGCCGCCTGCAACGCAGGAAACGACGGCTCGGGAAAAGGTGGAGACCCTCCTGGCTTTAGGGGCTTTAATGTGAGTCCAATGGTGTTGAATACTGTCAGATGGACAGCAATTATTTCTGGGAACCTGGTTGCATGGGTATATATTTTCCTCTGACAGGGGCTCATCACGAGGCAGGCGAAGCAGGACACCTTTCCATTTGAGCAGCAGGTCATTACAACTCTCTCCTGCCATTGTACATGACAATGATGCATCTCCATAACATGTACCTGGTGTAGATATTCTAAACTTTAGGTGTGCTATCAATTGTGTCCTGAGAACAATGTTTGGCAAAATAGATCAGATGTATTTGGATTGTCTTCTTTAATATATGCACACATGGTAATACACAGCACACACCAGATAATAAAAAGTTGCGTTTATCTTCATTATGACTGAATGCCTGTTAAAACATATTTTCTGGAACAATTTCCAAGGATGTAATTTCTGTGCCAGAGGCAAGGGGCGAGGGACGTGGGGTGACAGTAACGTGAACAAAAAATGCTTCCCTGTGGATTGGGAAATAATGACTATCTTTATGATAAAATAAACATATTTCCCTGTGCAAATTATCAATGTGCATATCTAAGGAATGCAAATATCAAACTGAGGCCCTGAATTCACCAACTTCATGTCTTTTTCCTGCATGTCCACTCTGTTTATCAACATAAATACAAAGAGCATCTCATCATTTAAACATATGACTGCAGAGATCATGCAAAACCAGCCAAGAATACACCACCTAGAGTCCAGGTGCCCCAATGTCCTGCATTGCAATTACAGGAATACACTGCCTGAAGCTCTGTCTAAAAAACAATGGAGGTGAACTCACCTGTTGAAAAAGATGGTACAACTGGGGTACAGACCTCAATGCATCCACAATAAGCCACTTTGTGGATACCCTGAACCCAGAACTTTGTATGCGTCTATTCAGAATGAATGGATTTCAAAGAAACTCAACTGTAATGCATCCATTCATTATGTTAAGCAAAATATTACACCTTGCTAGGAGTGAGAGCAGCATTCCTATGAGCCAAATTTGTCAAGTTGCCAAAAAACCCTGATTAAAAAATTAGGAAATAATGAAAATCAGAAGTACCATAGAGAACTGAAAGCATGAGCATTGTCCCCAAAACAAAATTTCATACTTTATTTCTAACTTTGTTTGTCTGCTTCATAGCAGCAACAGTAGCAGCACTTCAACATATTGATAGCAGAAAAGGCCTTACACTTTTCTTACTTTACCACAGCATGGAGCATGGCAATGCAAAGCTAGCAGCACACATTCATTCCTTAAATGCCAGCTTTCTTGATGCTTTATCTTGCATTTCATACTCATACTTTTCACCCAATTGAAGTTTACCACACACTGGCCCTTGGTGGTTACCTGCTCCAAATGCATCAACATTCCAAACTACCTCCTATTTACAATCTCCATTGCCACTTCAATGGCAGCCATGTGTCATGTAATCTTAGAATCTTTTATACTTAAATGCCAGTTAGGTACACCACAGCCAAAGGGACACATACCTTAAGTTATCTGCATTAAGATGCATCAAAAAGCGCATATTTATCAGCGACGATACAAAGATAACAACAGTGACATCTTAAGACATTTGGGTGCACAAAATCGGACAAACAACCACCAATTCTAACTTACATGGTAGCCTAGGAAGTTCGAAATCACTGCTGCGATGACAATTAGGTTAAGCATGCTTGAAGCTGCGAAGGGAATCCAGGTCATTGCCACCGATGTGAAAATTGAGTTGGCGGTAAGCTTACAACTGGGCTAATAAAAACTGTCCATGCAGGACCTTTTACCCGCTACGGCCTAACGTGCCACCATATTCTCCAAAGGCAGCCCTAGGCTAGCCATCCTCGATCCGCAACTAGTGTAGACGGATTGTGATAAACAATAACAACAAATGAAGTGACGTCATATGACTCTTGACAAATGCCTAACATGCGTCACGTTGTCCAACAGAATCAATAACTTCGAGTACTAATTTATAATTTGTTACAGCTAACTCACAGCCTAAGCCACAACGCAAGCGAAATAAGAGCGAAGTTTCACAAAACGAGTGGGGCTGGGGTCTGCGCTGGGAAAGCTACTCAACTGCGATAACAAAATATCTGCCGATATGGAGCAACGGACCTCCTACCACGTTGGGAGATAGGTGTAGGAACCTTTCAAAAAGTGTGTGGGGGGGGGGGGGCTAAGCTCGGGGCGAACTTCAGGAACTTTTCCTGGAAAGCAAGCCCGATGACCGGGGTGGAGGGAGGAGGGGGTAAACATGGAGGTTGGTATCGCTCTTCATGCAAATGCCATGGCTGCTATGCTAGATATGCATCTAGAGCTGTTCCTCATTGGTACGCAATCTTGTCTGGTGTGTGTGGGGGCATGACCCCCAAAGAGATACAAAGTCCCACCCCTGGTAAGGAGGGAAAGGGGATGATAGCCGCTCAGATGATTAGCCCCTCCCCCCTTTCAAAAATTGCTGGCACCGTCCTTACCAGTGGCCTGGATCTCGATTGGAACTCTTCTTGGTGAGTTTAGAGAGAAGACAATGTTTCCCGAGTTTTTTTCGGTATGTCATTTGATTAAGAGAATTTTCCCGAGACACCCGTAATTTAAATGGCCTCCTCCCTTTTTCCGTTTAAAGCTTTTGGCGTGACAATCCTGCTGATTTCATCCATCATACCCAATTCTTTTGTGAACGGTGTTTTTTTTTTAGCAGACTTGACTATTTAGGTCCCCGGCCTCGCTCCTCGCTCACGCAACTTACTTGCATTCATTGCTATCTAGAATGTCCGTCGGTCATTTAATTCAACCTTTCTGTGCCACTCACGACTCGAATTTGTGTTGTCAAACGAACGAAATTGAGTGCTAACCCCCCCCCCCCCCCCCCCAACAGGACGTCCTCATTGGTATTACGCAGCCAGGCGGCAAAACGAAGTGTTTGTCAAGCAGCAAGCGTCACCAGATCTTTTCAGGAACACATTGTACAAACACAACAACAAAACATGTGCACGATAGGGTTTATTTTGTACTTTTCATAGAGGCATCGCTACAGCACTTCAGAGACAACTCCGTTTACCGAGTTCAGAAGCTTTCTTGCACGGGAAAGCCACCACGAAAAGTGTTCACGTAGTTCAGTGTATTGAGGGCGCCGGTATCACCACTCCATGCCGTGAGCTCCCGCAGCAGACCCAGTCAAGAGAGGCAATCGGTGCAGTCGCTGCCAGCGGGCCCACAACCATAGTTAAGTAGCAGGACCAGCAAATAGCTGAGTGAATATATACTGTGCGCATGTGAAACAATCGTTTAAGGCACCAGGTCAAACCAGCATCGATAGCTCATTGATAAGCTAGGAACTGTATCTATGAGCGATTGTGGGGCCCGTTGTTCCGTTCGTTGTGCGTGAGTGCTGTCGATGGGTCCAGGACTCGCTCGTTGAAAAATGAGCTCCCTGTCTTCCTAAATCATGGTAGCCTCACCATCGTAAATTCTGGCTGCGCCCCTATGTCTATACACCCGCAATGGATTAAAGATCATGGACCTAGATCGCATGTCATATGAGGAAACCTATGCTATTCAAAACAAGCCTGATAAAAGCAAGCTAAATAACAATGTCGGAGGCCCACGAGTACATAGAGCTGCACCTGCCGCGCAGGCGTAACAGCAAAAAAAACCTGTCGCACATTCCCGTCGACCCCAATGCTCCAGCTTTATGACGTTAAGCATTACGATATCCCTTGGCAGACGCGTTATTTTCATCTGCCTTGCCAGTAAGTGGGAGTAGGCTATGAGGGGATCACACGCACACGCACACGCACACACACACACACACACACACACACACACACACACACACACACACACACACACACACACACACACACACACACACGTACACACACACACACACGTACACACACACACGCACATATATATATATATATATATATATATATATATAAATATAATATATATATATATTTATATATATATATATATATCTCTCTCTCTCTCTCTCTCTCTCTCTCTCTCCTCTCTCGTCTCCCTCTCTTCTCTCTCTCTCTCTCTGCTCATTCTCTCTCTCTCTCCTCTCTCTCCTCTCTCTCTTCTCTCTCTGGTCTCTCTCCTCTCTCTCTCTTCTCTATCTCTCTATCTTCTATCTATCTATCTATCTATCCATCTATACTCAAGTTTTTAAAACGCAGGGTGCAATGTGCATTTCATCATCACTTTCTTACGCGTTTGCTCGATTGTTCGAGTTCAAGCCTTTGTTGTTTGATATCTCTATTACGACGCATAGCAATGCACCCGCAGGAGGGAGCGCCAAACCAACATATGCGCAAAACTCAGTACGAAATTCCTAAGCTCTGGCCTAACTGAGAAACCACAGGTTCAACAATCATATTCAAACAAACGCCGTTTACAAAGCCTCGAAGCCATCCTCATCAGAGAATGATTGAACACACAGTCAACCAAGTCAACCTCTCCCGGCCGGGCGCGGGATATTTTCACCCCTGTAACTCTGAAACAGCTGCGACATATCTTATTCTTTATGCCGAACAAAGACTCCGGTGTAAATGGCGACATACCTGTGGACACTCTAAGGCTCCATTTCCAAGACATCGGAACAACCGTAATTCAGGTCATTAAAACTAATCTTACCACAGAAACGGTGCCCTCCTGCGGGAACTGCGCCACCATTATTCCTATTTGCAAAAAGAACAATCGATCGAAGGCTTCCAATTTTCGGCCAGTCACTATCGTCCCAGCCATGCTTTC